TTCTGTTTTGTTCTGTTAAGCTCATTCTCCCTCCCCGAATCTTAAGAAAGAAAGCGAAGGTTTTGTTTCAGGAAAACGTGAAATTTCCGACCCGTTTAAATGTTGGAAGCACTTTTAAAGGAGTCTTTTGGACTTTTAAAAATGCCTTAATGCGAACTAGAGTTGACAGGATGGAGCCTGGAAGTACCCCATATATATTTTTTTTAAAAAGAACATACCTTTAATATTTTGGGTGGATGAAAGAGTTTGTTGCGGTTTGTTTTTTGCACGGTTTATATTTAAAGAACCCTGAAGCGATCACCAATGGCGGTCAGCTGTCCTTGAATTCCAGCTAAAGGATTTCTGTTAATGTTAATGGTTGTCTCCTTCGCAACAACGGTGAAATTCGCGCTGTAATCATTTATATTCCACGCCTTTGATATGTTGTCATTGTAGCGCTGCTGCAGAAAAGGAGGCATGAAATATTCCTGCAGCAAAGCAGGGGGGATATGGAGTTCTCATCTTGGCGCTAATTGAATTAGAAAAATCGTCTTCAATTTCCCTTCCCCTGTGAAACTTGAACGTGGCACGTCCAGTCATGGAAAATGAAGCGACGCCTGCACAAAATACCCACAACTTTGCATAAGGGGTTAAATATTGTCTTAAAAGAGTAGATTATTTTCTTAATAAAGAAGAGTTTACTTTTACAACTCTGTGATGGTTTTTTTTTCCTCCCCAAAACTTTGCTGTTGTTATTAGTTGCATAGTTGTGTTCTGACCCATCGCAACCACATAGACAACGTTCCTCCAGGCCTTCCTGTCCTCTACCATCCTCTGGAGTCCATTGAAGCTCAGGCCGACTGCTTCAGTGACTCCATCCAGCCACCTCATTCTCTGTCGTCCCCTTCTTCATTTGCCCTCCATCGTTCCCAGCATGAGGCTCTTCTCCAGTGAGTCCTCCCTTCTCATTAGGTGGCCAAAGTCTTTGAGTTTCATCTTCAGGATCTGCACCCTATCACGTCAGATAGAACC